GCCGTCCGCCTCCTCGCCGGCGTCCGTGGGGGACCCGTGCGGCGGCGCCGTCTGCGGGGGCCCGGACCACCGGCTGCGCCTGTGGAGCCTCTTCCAGACCCTGGACGTCAACCGCGACGGCGGCCTGTGTGTCAACGACCTGGCGGTGGGGCTGCGGCGCCTGGGACTGCACCGCACCGAGGGCGAGCTCCGGGTAGGTTGCGCGCGCGCGCGCGGCTGGTTCCGGGCGCTGGTGGGACGGGTCTGGTCGTCTGGGCTTCGCGGGGAGCCGCTTGGAGCTCGGCAGGTCTGGCGGACGGCTCGTCGGGCTGGGCGGGGCCCGAACTGTTAGGAGGATTAGTGCCCCCCCACGGACAGATGGACACCCCGTTTATGCCCGGGTGGGGGTGGACCTTCTTCCCGACTTGTGTGGGCGCTTGGGCCAGGCTCTTCGTGGGAGTCGGTGGGCACCCTCTAGGCCTTCCGATGGGCAGAATGCCCTTTTCCGCCCGGGCTTTCCGCAAAGTAAAAGGCCAAGTCTCGGGAGTGTGCCTTTGTCACCTCCTGACCTCAGGGCCAAGCTTATGCTCCCCTCCACCCCCCGGGTGGGTTCATCCCTCGGTCACCAGCAGCACCCCCTCCTTCTCCTCCCATTTCCATGCCTCCCGTGGGCTCTGATCTGGTTCCTCGCAGAAGCATGTGGGAGTTGGGAAAAAAATGGATGTTGGGGTTTCAGGCAGTGGATGTGGGCGGTGAGGACTGACAGTTCTCGTGGCTTAGGCTCATCCCCATTGCCCTGCTTGTCCAGAAAATGGGATCATGATCCCTGGAGGGTTGAATGGAGTGAAAGAACCTGGGAGGAAATTCTTTCTAAAAGTGAAAGTGTGGTACACCCAAGAGGGAAGATTGTTACTCTTGTCCTGGAAAGTAGGGGCAGAGGCTGGCAGATAAATGATCGTCTCTGGGCCTGCTGGTTTTTTTTCTGCATAAGAAGCTCGACCAGGGGCTGTTTCTTCCCCTTCTGTGTCTCGAGGTATGTTGTTCAGTCTGACCTGGTGGCTGCAGCTACCCTTTATCAAGTATTTCAGTTGTTGTGGCTTAGCCTGATTTACAAGTAAGGACTACCAAGAACTTCACCTAGAGCCTATTTCTCTTCTTAGTTTGTTTGGTCCATGTGCACATACAACAAGATCTAGAGAGAATCTCATAGCCAAGCATGAAAAAAATTTGGTAAAATGCCAGTGAACTAAACCAATTTGTTGGCTGGTGGGTGTATGTGAGGTGTTTTTAATTCATGTCCAAGATGTTTTGGATCAACATCCAAGGTATTTAACCTACTCAGGATCAGCCTAGGAAGACTAACACTAACAAACACTATACAATGTAGAATTGTTGGGTTAGGTCCAAGAGATTTAGAGACAGGTTGCTTTGTTTGTTACATTTGAAGTCAGTTTTACACAAAATAGTGTGACCTGGAGATTTTCCCGTATATATCTGATGAATAAGTAATTTGAAAAGATAGGATTAGCTAATACCAGAGAATTTATGCCTTGGGGTTCAGGGAAGTATGGGCCCAGGTGAACCTTCCTGCTTTTATGAAATTGGCCGTATCTACCCACTTTGGCATATGCTGCCGGGCACATTGAGAGCATCTGGCTTCTGGAGTGTGTTAAATGTTTACATCGTGCTTTGTGCCTCAGCTGGAGTCGGTGTTCATGGCATATCTGAGACTGATCCTATTCATTTTTTTTCTTTTGGGCAGTATATTTCTGAGGGCAAATAAGGAGAAAGTGGTTATTTTTGTTTTTTAGTGTTTTGTTAACCAAAGGGAGACTATTGGAGTTATGTTGGCTCTAAAATCTTTGTCTCTGACTGATCAAAGTTCTGTGATAGGAAAACATTCTTTTTTATTCTTTTGGTGTTTGGGTTTATTGTGGGCTTTATTTCTACAACTCTTTCAGATTTTGAACAAATTAAATTGTTGCACAGCTTTGAGATGGGAAATGATTCATTTCGTTTTATTAGTTTATTACCTATAAAGGAGCAGAAGTTAGTCTGTGGGGAATTTTTTTAAGTATTGGAGAGAAAAATCTGCCTTTTTATAAATAACTGGTAACAGGAAGACACCCTGCTTCATGTACCCCATACCGCTTCCTGTTGAATTAACTCAGTATTAGCTGCCTACAGAAAGAGCAGTGCTGTGTCTTTGCAGAACTAGCCAGAGCCAAAGAGAACTTGGGGGCCCTTTCGTTCAAAATGGGTTGTTTACCATGAGAACAGGCATTGAAAAATACGTCACACTTTGTGCAGCCATAAAGGACAAAATCATGGTCTTCTCAGCAAATTGGATGGAATTAGAGACAGTCATTCTTAGGATATCACAGAAACAAAACCAAAAACCACATGTTTCTCACTCGTAAGTGAGACCTGAACATTATTCACAATGGCACAAGGAAGGGGTCAGCAGTCGTGGAACACTGCCAGGGGAGGGAGGAAGGGGAGCCACGTAACAACACAAAGGGTACCTGATCCTAAACCAGTGACATGAGCACCAGTTGGAGGCCCAAACTTCATCTGCACATAGATTACTTATATACCTAATCCTGACTTGTACCACACGTCTTTAAAATAAAAGAAAGTATTTTTAAAAAGAAGAAAAATATGTCACACTTTGGACATGGCTTCATATGGTCCATATGAAACCACTCTGAGATGCTGTGGTTTACACAGCAGTGGGAGTGCTTATCAGTGGGTGAGGAGTGAACCCATGCCATGTGACTCCGCAAAGCCTCTTGCTAGCTTAGAACAGCCTGGGTCAAATTTTCTTTAAAAATAAACCAGCAAATTTTGCTTGCCATCTGCCTTTGTTTGAGAAGAGATTGGGACACTCAGAAAATTTGCTTAAAATGGAAGTGGACAGAGAAACCATGGCAGCCAGCCAGGGAAATTCTCTTTGTAAGAAGCATGTAAGCATGTAAGCAAGAAGTCCTAGGACAAAAGAAGGGAAGGGTTTATTAAAGAGAAAAAAGATGACGACAACGGGAGTGGCTTTGGGAGATGAGACTCAGCCAGAGCTAATTATAGCATTGTCTATTTAAGGCATTTTCATGTGACCAAACAAAATCTGTGTCTTAAAACAGTTTTGAAACACAGGTTAGAACTCAGGCTGCCAACTGGAGGAAGAAGGCAAGCTGTGTTCCTTGTCAGCAGTTGTCCTCTTAGCTGAGGTTGTGGACGCTCATGAGGGCTGGTGTTAAATGCAGGTGCGGATTTTAGCCCATGCTGCAGTTTGCTGGTCTGGAGACTTCCTGGCACACCATCTAGGAGGAGCCCCAGTACCTTGGGAAGCAGGCGAGTCAGTAAAATGCTTTCACCCTGTTTTAAAGGGAAGGAACAGTGGTTCCAAAAGATGATAAAACAACTTCAAAAATCACTTGACCACTAGGAGATTGGGCCAGAGAAGTAATTGGAACTATCCTTTTATTTATTATTATTTTTTGAGTCAGGGGTCTCACTGTTGTCCAGGCTGGAGTGCAGTGGCACAATCATGGCTCATGCATCCTCGACCTCCTGGGCTCAGGTGATCCTTCCACCTCAGCCTCTTGAGTAGCTGGGACTGTAGGTGTGTGCCACCATGTCTGGCTAATTTTTTGTATGTTTTGTTTTGTAGAGATGAGGTCTTGCTATATTGGCCTAGGCTGGTCTTGAACTCCTGGGCTCAAGCGATCCTCCTGCCTTGGCCTCCTAAAGTGCTAGGATTACAGGTGTGAGCCACCATGCCTGGCCAGAACCATCTTCTGATTCCCGTTCCTC